TTTCTTAATTTCAATGTCAATCCCTTTTGTTTAACCGTAATCCAAGTGAGTGCACCAAACTATAATGATCTTTAAATTAATATCTCAATTTAAAAACAATTGTGCACATCATACCTGCACAGTTTTAGTAGAGTAATTTGGAGTTTTTCATACAAGGACTGAAATATTTGTGTCATTTTTACAGTCATTCAGAACAGTAATGTTTCCTCTGAAACTGTATGAACATAGATTAGGAGCTGGAAGTGTGCGTTGTGTCTGTGCCAGTGCTGTGTGGCAGTATGAGCTGTAACTGCCCTGAATTAAACACAGATTGGTGACTCCACTGTCTTAACCCAGCTGTGGAGAAGCTCCTGCAGAGAGACGGGCTGGATCACTGACAATTGCTGCTGTGTTTCAGGCCCAGGTGTTGCTGGAGCCGATGACAATGAGCCACTGGACGTAAACTACCAGCATGAGCCAACAGACAGTAAGTGTGACTGAAATAAACTGTTACGCATTCCACTCGCGTCTCTGTCCCGTCTTGCATTCCCACACGCACACCCTTTAACAAACGCTCGCGCCACAAATACAACACCTATCACCGTTTACTCCTCTCACTATTTTAGCTCTCCTCTTTTCTCACTTCCCTGCTCATTATTGCGGATACTCATCGATCTCCCAAGTGCGCGTTATTCTCTTGCTTAAACTTCGGTATTTGATCTCCTAGCCTGCTCCTCGTTTTCAACTTCGCCTTGTGATTTGGATTGTTGCTTCCTCGTTGTCTCTCCGTGTTCTGACCTACTCGCCTGCTTCCTGGTATTCTTTTTTGCTTGCCGATTCGGCTTAGTGTTTCTCTCTGTCTCCTGAGTCCTGCACTGGATCCATTCACCCTATCAGCCCCATTCTGACATGAACACCACAGACTACCGCTCCCACCTTTAACAGTGTCATGCTGTAGAAACATAGCCCAACTCTGTCATTTACTGAATTATCTATTGTCCTCATTAAGACTGTTAGGGGTCTCTGATTTGGCTCCTGTGTTATTAGGACAGACATGTTTCCTCTGAACCTGTCAGAACGAAGATTAGGAGCTGGAAGTGTGTTATGTCTGTGGCAGTGTGAGCTGTAACTGCCCTGAATTAAACACAGATCGGTGACTCCACTGTCTTAACCCAGCTGTGGAGAGACTCCTGCAGAGAGACAGGCTGGATCACTGACAGGTGCTGCTGTGTTTCAGGCCCAGGTGCTGCTGGAGCCGATGACAAAGAGCCACTGATCAGAGGAAATCGTCGGCGTGATTCAATAGACAGTAAGTGTAACTGAAAAGCACACAGACTACAGCTCCCACCTTTAAAAGTGTCATGCTGTAGAAACCCAGTTCTGCAGATACGGAACAGCTCTCTTCCTTTTGCCCGCTGGACTCTCTGGAACAGTGCTCTCTAGCTGCTGTGGGAGTGAATTATTCCTGATTTGAATGCCCCCTCTTCAATCTCACTCTTTCTGTGCTGAAAGTAATGACGTGCTATTGAACAATTCCTGGTTTGTTTGATTTATTTTAGAACCCAGAGTAAATATGTAATGAAGAAGAGCTGGAGGACTCAAGAAAGGACAGTGGCTGTGCTTAGAAGATTAAGACACTGTTTGAGCTGGATTCTTAAAAAGCTCTGAGGGCATGGTTGTGTGGTCCTGTATTTATTGACATTTTCATTCACTTTTTTCAAGTACTTTTTCATGTTCATTCCCTTAATGGCTGCAGTAATTGTGCTTGCTGTTGTGGATGTACGACACACTACAGGCAGGGGGGGTCTCTCCTATGATTTGTAATGAATCTGTTTACC